GTTCAGGCACCATAGTATGCATTTCTGCGTATACGAGCTAAAAGGCGGCCTGTAGGTTTCGCCACTGTGACGCCTATAGAGCACGCTCCCTACTCATGCAATCGAGAATCCATCCTGCTAACAACCTCGAGGACTGTGTAGGTACTATCAGAAGTAAAACACGAATAGAGAGCGGAGGGGCGCACTGCTGCGTAAGACGTCGCCACAATGCCGCCGATGCCAGGCCGTTGGGGGACTTAACACAACGCTATATTTCCTGTATTGTCCGCACTAGAGACATACGAATCCAGCTCTGTCTAGCTTCTTGCGACTTTGTCTTGAGCCTTGAGGCGTTAGCCTCAGGCATTCGCAGCACGTCACGTCGATGGTCAGCTAGGACTGCTTCATGCGAACCAACGCGCAGAGAGATCCTTGGGCTCTGTTCGGGGCCATGAGGGGCGATACATACGTGTGCGCCCGGCCCCCTCTTGAGCGTGGCGAGGACAGTTTGAGGAACTTGAGACATAACAAACTCGACGAGGAATCTGTTGTCGTACAACACCGTCGGATATGGTTCCCCTTCCCGCCACTCCAAGAGTCGTGGGGTGAGATCGACTACCAAGCTGTCCGAGATCTTGTCCGTGTGAAGCCTGTCCCTGGCGTATGGCGGAGCTTTCTGTGCTCTCCACGCACGACGATTGACCTCGGACGGCTCCGACTGCCGAAAAGCCCCCTCACGCACCACCGCGCCTGGGATAAACATGACGGCCGCTCCGGAAGCGAACGTCCTCCGAGGAAGAACCACCTCAGTAAGCTTGGCCACGGTGTTGGTGTATGTCGACCTGGATCCCTTAGCCTGCGCCCTAGTTGAACCCCACGGATGGCTGGAGACGTAACGCAGGACGCGCGACACTAGACCTTCAAGCGTGTAGGCCGGGATGCCCTTCAGCCAGGGGGATGACAAGGTGACCGTCGACGGTAAAGTCGGCAAGAGAACCCGCGTGAGTAGACTACTGACTGCGGGGTACTCCGACTCGGTCAGATACATAGCAGTAGCATACGTGACTGCTAGATACGGACCTTGTCCATTGATAATGTCGACGCGTTGACCTAGTTGACGCACAATTTCGCGCAAGCTGTCCACAGATCGAGGTTCGTCCAGGCCCGAGGCTAGCTGTGCGGTATCCATCCCTACGGAGATGGGCGACTCCGAAATCTGAAGCCATGGGCGTCGTCGGTCTATGCATCCATGATCCGGCTAGAAGTTCTTACAAGCTTTGTATATGTTCCCAGCATGTGCCGGATCGCATTACGGGACGTAAGGCTAGGGTTGAAGTTGGTCTTGTCAACGGCATACTCTAATCCGTGCCGCTCGCATGTAGAAAGAAGTCTGGCCTGGTGTGAGTTGGACTCAAAGACAAGTCTCTCGTTGAATCCGGATATGCTCACCTTGGGAACAGAAAGGAAAGGCCGTACCACCCAACGAGACATGCCGGTCTCACCGTAGAAGTCGAGCGCTCCATCTCCCTCAGAGTTGCCCATGCCCCAACGCCGCACAGGCAACATGCCCCTCAGGCCAAGCACGCGGCTCCCGCTTATGTAGCGCATCATCACAGTCTCAACCTGGTCGTCCGCATGGTGCCCAAAGGCGATCGCCGCGGCGCCTTCTTCGGACATTTGGTCGAAGAGTGCACGCATGCGTGCCCTCCGGGCATGCAGTTCAGTAGATGCCGACTCCGGGAAAGCAGGGTACGGAGGTCTCGACCATGGGACGGTGAAGACGCGGTGCTCAACACCAAGGGCCCGTGCACTCTGCTCCGCGAGTGCTGCCATGTCATCGGAGGCCTTCTGGAGCTTGTGGTTGATATGCAGTGACACGACTCTCCGAGGCAAGCCAGTCGGTCCATCCTTCTTGATGAGCGAAGACAAATGCCAGAGGAGACATGTGGAGTCAGGACCGCCAGAGTTTGCCACGGCTGCCCTAAGTCAGTAGAGGTTCCTCATAAAGACTTCGTCCACATACCAATCGTTTGAGGCCACCCTCCGGGAGGCATACATCGCTGAAGCAGTTGCAAGAATTCCCCTGAAGCCACCGCAGCCGGAGCAAGCATTTGTATGATGTTCACAGTGGTCAATATTCCAAACAGGTTCCAGCCTGGCTTTTATCCGAGGCAAGCTTGAGCTGCGATGTGGGTATCGCCGGAGTTGCGTGTAGCAGAGTCGATGGATGTTCTCAGTAACGGCTATGTGGCAAGCAGCTTGACGCCGGACCGCTCTACCGGCCCTCGTCTGTTGGCGAGCACGCCAGAGAAGCCCGGCAGTGGTTGGACATCTAGGCCTCATAGTACACGCCAGAATAACAATTCCCTCGAAGGTAAAATGCAGCATTACGCGAGGTAACAAGGTGTGTACATTGGTAGCCAACATGCCACCAGAAGTCTCAACTTCCTACCTTCGTACAGAAGCTACGAATACAGTCAACAGGGTGCACTGCAATAAGTAAAATAGAAAGAGGCATTGTCCGGGAAAGCTGACTGTTGATACTCGGGTATCAAACTAGGATGACGATACAATACGGGCACTGTGGCACGGGTTCAGGGGTTGGCATATGTTGTCGTGCAGACCGGATTTTGTTGCTATTACTTGGAGACCCAGACTGGAGCGGAATTTCAGTCGCATGTAGCAGTAGAGCAAGACCAGACTCACAGGAAATAGCGATGACGAGGTACAGCGTCATGAGCCTAGCGGGAGATGTTAGCGAACAACCGCCATCCAGGATGACGCTCTTACATCATGCCCTCCATGTAGTTCGACTTGCCGTCTTGAATCAGGAACTGCACCAGGAGTACCGAAACGAAGAGCACAATCGTCTACAAGTGTGTTCAGCACCGGTACAAGGCTCCAAGGAATACCGCGACGCACCTCGAAGTCGGAGAAAAAGAGCGTGAGGTTATGGTTAGTGCTAGTTCGCACATGCTTTAGCCATCGTGTGCGGGCTCCGAGCTTGTCCACTTACATCCACCCGACAATCACCAGAAGCGGCACTACGAATGCCGAGATTTGCTGGAATGAATTGGGCGATCAGTCGTGCGGTCGTGATGGACACAATAAGCGCTGCAGAACGCACAATCGAGCTGCCCACACAGATCCCAATCGTCAGAGCCATCTTGTTCTTGCGCGCCATCCAGATCGAGGTGACATGCTCCGCCGCGTTCGCAACGATGGGGAGGAGGATGACACCGATGAACGGTCTCGAGATGCCGTAGCTGTCCGCGACCTCTTCAATCGAGGCGACCACTAGCAACAGAGTAAGCGAGAGGGTGTCATCGGTACGATCGAGCTACTCACAGTAGTCAGCACAGAATGAGGTGATCACAGTGACAAGCAAAAGACTGGCGTAGGGTGTCAGAGGTGGCGCCTGAAGGCCTGATCGCGGAGCAATGTACGCACGCGGACGCCGCAGAAGGTACATTCATGTACTGCTCTTCCTCCTCTGTCTCTTCGGCTGTGAAGAGGTCAGCATGCGTCTTGAGCTGTTGTCGAGCCAGGTCAGCTCGTGAAAAGATACCACAGACGCCCGCACGAACCTGGAACAGGAGGTACGCGAGGTACACAACCAGGAGAAGCAGAGCCGTCCCGCGAGAGATGAGGAGCAATCCACGTTCAGCGTCAGAGGAAAGGTCCGTGCCGTCGATGACCGCGTTTGCGACCGAGTTGATCAGTGACGTAGTGTTTTTGCTACCGGAGTGCGTGTTCGCACTGTGGTACGCAGCGGGTATGACAAGAGCTGTGTTTGTAGGTCAACATTTTGGCGCTGGGAAAGTAAGTAAGGACGAAGACATACTAATACATGCCAGAGTCATCAATGAACTCGAACTGCGCACGCAGCGTTAGTCTATGAAGATAGCCTTTCGGATGGGGACGTACGCCTGAGCCGCCGTCTCATCAAAGGAGCTCTGCGGGTACTTCAGGCCACCTGCAAAGAACGAACACCCGAGCACGAGCAAGAGGTTGGACAAAATAGACCCAAGCATCTGCACAGACGTCAGCCACGCTCAAGAGCATGTGAGTATAATGTCAGTACCGAAGTCTGCACGATTCGCAACTGGTCTGTGAACTCTAATCAGTCGCTGTCGCGAACTGCGCACGGAACGCGCCGTACTCTGCATGAGAGCGGCCACACCGACGATTATTTCGACGGCGTTTCCGAAGGAGGCGTTCAACAGCCCGGACAGGGTCTGGCCCAGCTTGAGCGACATTTGTTCGGTGGCGGTGCCCAGGAGCTGTCGACTGTTCGTGAGTGTGACCTTTGACTGCGCGTAGGTCCTCGCTCACCGCTGCCAAAGGCATGATTGCGATGAAGCTAAAGCTGAAACGGTAGGCGGCATCCCACTCCAGGTGTTCGGCGACGAAGCTCAGGGGAATAAATACGAGTAGTACGTTAAGCCAGGAGCCAAAGAAGAAGAAACGGTATGAAGCAAGCCAGCTCGGTTCGCCCTCTGCCTTGAAGAACTTGACAACTTTCTGAGGGAATGGTGCGGATTCGGGGTGGCCATTGCCATTCTGTGTCGGGAGCAGAGGGGTGGTTTCTGAGCTGGCGGACATGGTTGGGTACGATGGAAAGGCGGTGTAGTTGCAAGCTTTATACACGGCCTACACACGATCGGACCCTTGGCCGGCTCAGTTTCCTCGGCGAGATATGTTGGGGCAAGTCCGTCATAGCTTGCTGACATAATGGCAGCCTTCTGACTGCCAAGCCTATTGTCCGCCAAGGATCTCGGATAGCGGGTCCCCTGATGATCGAGCCCTCGCAATCGTCCCAAGCTTGAAATGTCGAATGTTTTGTGTCACGTGCTACATGTAGTGGCTGTTCACTACCGCCGAAAATGCTGTCCTGGTAGTAGTACTTTCGACAAGACGGGAGCCGGATCCAAGGTCAAATACAACCATCCACGAAACACCAAGGAGGGCCCTGGCAGACACAAAAGTGGCTAGCACAGTTGGGCAAAGGGGAAAAAGCATACCACCGACGGGGCTCGAACCCGCAACTCCCACCTTGTTACTTTAGGAAGGTGATGCGCTACCATTGCGCCACGATGGCACATCGACAACGCCTCAACTTTGTATATCGATGCATACGACCGGACTATAAAATGCAACAAACGTGCTCGTGTAACACGATGAGCTGTGCGGGGTCTGTCAAATCCACTCAGCCGCTCCTAGTGAGTGTAGAAAGCAGAGTCAAGCGAGACACCACAGTAGTACATACATTTATTCTTCAGTACGACATTCTCTAAGTAGTCAAGACACTACTAATTACCCCAGCTTCCAGCTATTATGCAAGCCTATTGTATCGTCGGCCCCGTTCATGGGCCCGCTGCACCCAAGCGCGAGTTCTCTATTTTCCTTTACGACGTCCGGACCGCCTGCAATGCCATTGGACTTTATGCCCTTGACATTGTCCGAGCGGACCTGCTCTAGCATCGACAGATACTCCTCGTCCACCCCGCCCGTGACATACTCGCCCGTGAAGACCGAGCAGTCGAACTGCTGTATCGCCGGGTTGAACTGCCGCACCGCGTCGATAAGGTCTGGCAGTGTCTGATAGATGACGAGGTCCGCGCCGATCGCCTCCGCAATATTGTCCAGAGAGCGGTTGTGGGCGACGAGTTCCGAGCGCGAGGGCATGTCGATACCGTAGACGTTCGAGTAGCGGATGGGCGGTGCGCACGACGCGACAATGACCTTCTTCGCACCGACGTCCTTCGCCATCTGCACGATCTCCTTCGACGTCGTGCCGCGCACGATGGAGTCGTCGACGATGAGGATGTTCTTGTTCGCAAACTCGAGCGCCATCGCGTTCAACTTCCGCCGCACATTCTTCCGCCGCATCTGCTGCCCCGGCATGATGAAGGTGCGCCCGACGTAGCGGTTCTTAATGAAGCCCTCTCGGTACGGAAGGTTCAGCTTCTGCGCCAAGTTAAGCGCAGCGACCCTTGACGTGTCCGGGACCTGACGTACACACAGCCCTCGGTCATCTCCTGTCTAGCCTTGGCAGAGCACAGGTCACGTACGGGTATGACGACGTCGACCGACAGGCCTTTGTCGGTAAGCACTCGCTGCACTTCCGCAGCAAGAGCATCGCCCATCGCCATCCGGCTCCGGTAGACGCTAATCCCGTCTAGGACCGAATCCGGCCGAGCGAAGTACACGTACTCGAAGATGTCCGGTGCGAATGTCTGCGCTTTGCCGACTATCCTGCGGCTGACGGTGTTGCGCGTGATGATAACGGCCTCGCCTGCGGCACGCTCAGCGCGGTCCGGATACGGGTCCGAGGCGCGTGTCGCTCACCTGGTTTGACGTCCTCCCAATCGCCGAAACCACTCGCGTCCGCGACGACGCTTTCACTCGCAAACATGTAGTCTCGGCCGGTGGCGCTGCCAAACGCCTTGCGCGAGGCCATGCCTACCGGACGAATGCCGTTCGGGTCCCTGAACGCGATGATACCGAAACCGGCGAGCATGGCAACACACGCGTACGCGCCCTTGCACTGCTCCATAAGACTGCCGATAGCGGTGAAGATATCCTCCTCGTTAATACGGAACTTGCCCGTCTTCTGCAGGTTGTCGGCAAAGACGTTCAGCAGGAGCTCAGAGTCAGAGGACGTGTTGATGTGCCTATGGGCGGTGGCATCCATGAACTGGAGCAGAGACTGAGTGTTGATAAGGTTCCCATTCTGATCGAGCATGAGTGGAGGGTCGCAAGGAAAGCAAGGAGGTGCTCACATGAGCAAAGACAATACCATAAGGTGAGTTCACATAAAATGGCTGCGCTTCGGCGTGGTGGGAGCTGCCTGCAGTCGGGTATCTCACTGCACGCGAGAGTTCAGTTGCGCATCTATGCATTGGTTGTCGTCACGTACCGTGCCCGATGCCCATCCAGCCGTACAGGGTGGACAGCGCGTGGGCGTCGAAGACGTCTCTGACCATTCCGTTGGCCTTGCACTGGTAGAAACGTCCCTTGGGCCCGCAAGTGACGATACCGCACGCATCTTGACCGCGGTGCTGGAGGAGCGAGAGGCCTTCACAGATCTCTGGCGCCGCCTCCTGAGTCGGGTCGTGGAGAATGAGACCGCAGATGCCGCACACTGGGCAGATCGTTCATATCCGCGCACATCTCGAGGCGATCGCACGGACTCACTTTTGGGATCGCAGACCCTGGTAGATGCCTGGGTGAATGGCGGGAGGTCTATGAGGAAGACCTCGACGGGGTACCTTGCGAGGACACGAACGTGCGTGGCGAGGACATCTCTCTTACTCTGAGTTACATATAACGCCGCCAATTTTTTCAAGGGGCCAATCGTCCTGCACGGTCCGACCTGCCTGCGTCGGCAATGGGCGGCTACTGTCTCCCGGACGCGACGCGACGCGTTCCTCAGTGTCCGTGGTCTCCGAATCCTCTCCGCCTCGAATGCCCGGCCGCCGCGTACGCTGTTCTACTTAGGGCCAATTCGTGAATACGTAGCATTTTTTTTCCTGGAGACGCGGGACGTAAAGATCCCTGAGTAAACAATGTGTGCGCAGAGTGTGCCAGCGAATCAAGCGGGCGTGTGAGGCACAGAGGCTCGGGGGAAGCCGGCACCGGGGGTAGCGGAGCTCGAAATGAAGTTTATGTGGTCGTCGGCCTGCCTCGTCATTCCACCTCTTCATCGTCCACGTCGTCGACCATGCTCACCTCGCGCGGCGTACACCGTCTCTCCCGTAGGGCGCTGAACAGCGCAAAGAAGACCAATGCGTTCTTCTCCACCGCCGCGGTGCCCGCCATCGCGGCGCGCGCTGCTCACGTCCCCTCGTCACAACGCGCGCAGGCTCGTGCTCCCCGCGCGCCAGCGCAGTCCAGTCAGTATATGTTTTTGGTCGTGTAGGGAGCCTCTCAACTCATTGCCTGTCGCCTTTGCGCTTTTTTCGCGGATTTGCAGCTCGCTCATATGCCACGGAGGCGAAGGGCGCCAGCGGTCACGTCAAGACCGTCATCGGTGCCGTCGTCGACGTGCAGTTTGAGACGGATAACCTTCCTCCCATCCTGAACGCGCTTGAGGTTGTCGACTTCCACGGTGGCCGTCTCGTCCTCGAGGTTGCCGCCCACCTGGGCGAGAACTCGGTCCGTACCATTGCCATGGACGGTACCGAGGGTCTCGTCCGTGGGCAGAAGGTAGTCGACACGGGTTCACCTATCAAGATCCCCGTTGGCACTGCGACTCTTGGCCGTATCATGAACGTCATTGGCGAGCCCATCGACGAGCGGGGTCCCATCCAAGGTGTCAAGCTGTCCCCCATCCACGCTGACCCTCCGGCTTTCGTGGAGCAGTCCACGACTGCTGAGGTCTTGGAGACCGGTATCAAGGTCGTCGACCTGCTTGCTCCCTACGCTCGTGGTGGAAAGATTGGTCTTTTCGGCGGTGCCGGTGTCGGCAAGACTGTGTTGATTCAGGAGCTCATCAACAACGTCGCGAAGGCGCACGGTGGTTTCTCCATCTTCTGCGGTATGTCCGATTTCTCCCGCATTATCCCCGACATATTTTGACTTCCCTTTATAGGTGTTGGCGAGCGTACTCGTGAGGGTAACGACTTGTACCACGAGATGATTGAGACCGGTGTCATCAACCTTGAGGGCGACTCCAAGGTCGCTCTCGTCTTTGGTCAGATGAACGAGCCCCCAGGTGCCCGTGCCCGTGTCGCTCTCACTGGTCTTACCATTGCGGAGTACTTCCGTGATGAGGAGGGCCAGGACGTGCTCCTCTTCATCGACAACATCTTCCGTTTCACGCAGGCCGGTTCGGAGGTGTCTGCACTGCTCGGTCGTATTCCGTCTGCTGTCGGTTACCAGCCCACGCTGTCGACGGACATGGGTGGCATGTTAGTAGTTTCCGTGTGAATGGGCGCGGGGATTTATGCTCACGAATATTGTCTACAGGCAGGAGCGTATCACCACCACCAAGAAGGGTTCGATTACGTCCGTGCAGGCCGTCTACGTGCCCGCCGATGATTTGACGGATCCTGCCCCCGCCACGACCTTCGCTCACTTGGACGCCACCACTGTGTTGTCTCGTCAGATCGCTGAGCTTGGTATCTACCCTGCCGTTGACCCCCTCGACTCGAAGTCGCGTATGCTCGACCCCCGTATTGTAAGTGGTTCTTGATGATGTCATTGGCCAAATGTTCACACGTGGGTCACGCATCATAGGTCGGCCAGGAGCACTACGACGTCGCGACTGCTGTGCAGAAGATGCTCCAGGACTACAAGTCGCTCCAGGATATCATTGCTATCCTGGGTATGGATGAGTTGTCCGAGGAGGACAAGCTGACTGTGAGTACCTCCTCGTTCGCAGCACGCCCATATAACAGGATCTAACATGCTTTACGCAAGGTCGAGCGTGCTCGTAAGATCCAGCGTTTCATGTCGCAGCCCTTCCAGGTCGCGCAGGTCTTCACCGGTTTCGAGGGCAAGCTCGTGTCGCTCAAGGACACCGTCCGCTCGTTCAAGGAGATCCTCTCCGGCGCGCACGACACGCTGCCCGAGTCTGCGTTCTACATGGTCGGCACCATCGAGGACGTCAAGACCAAGGCGGAGCAGCTCGCGAAGGAGATGGGCGAGTCATAATCTGCCTGGTGGTCGACGACATGACGTAGCTGTGCTTGGATGTGGCTCGGTGGACTGGAGTCGCTTTTTAGTTTAGAGCTGCAGTGCCAATAAAAAAGTATATTCTCTCTGCAATACTTCGCTAACTTGTGTCTGTTATCCGAGCACATTCCTTCGCATGAGCAAGCGGTGTGCCACCCTCGTGTCCACGATGAGCTTGTCCTGTATCGCTGGAAGTGAGAAATGTGTATCGTGAACGAGTGCCTTGTGGCCACCCGATACATGAAAGTGCGGGGGTGTTGTCTTACGCGACACGAGGATGCAGGGCTTCTGAGAAGAGGATCGCCCGGGGAGCTCGAGCGCATGTGTACTAACTCCGACGAAGGACATGACTAAGCGCCTGTAAAAGGCAGGAATGATAAGGACGGCAACAAGCGCCGACACGCCTTCATCCGCGTAAGG